TAGTATGAGGCTATGTTTTTGGATTTGTGTGGAGAACGGCATTGATAACACATGGATGTTTTAGTTGTTGTCAAGCAATGCTGTATTAAGCCAAAGATTTTGTAGCTTCTCATACTGCTCCTGCCCTCCTGGCTTCTTCACTGGGAGGACACACAGCCAGTACAACGACCCAAACTGGCCAAGGGGACATTCCATGCTATAAAGCATCATGCTCTGTATATAAGCTGGGGGGGGTTGGCCAGGGGATGTGATTGCTGCTTGGGGACTGTCTGGGTATCATTCGGAGAGTGTTTTGTTTTTTTAATTCTTTCTCTTTTTATACCAGACTGATGTTAGAATGTCTGGAGATGGGAAGAAAAACTCGGAGCTTCTCCTTGTGCCAAAGAAAACCAAATCAGCCAAGGCTGGTCTGCAGTTCCCCGTGGGTCGTGTCTACCGGATCCTTAAAAGAGGGAACTATGCTGACAGGATTGGCCCTGGTGCTGCCATCTACCTGGCTGCGGTGCTGGAGTACCTGAGCACAGAGATCCTGGAGCTGGCAGGGAATGCTGCACGGGAAAACAAGAAATCCAGGATCATGCCCAGGTACATCCAGCTGGCCGTGAGAAACGATGATGAGCTGAACAAGCTCTTCTCCTGTGTGACTATTGCTCAAGGCGGGGTAATACCTAATGTTCTTCCTGAACTTCTTCCTAAGAAGACCATCTCGATCAAGCCGCCCCACAAAAATGCTCTGTCACAGGAGTTCTAACTGCCACCAGCCTTCTGACCTTGTGGTGGTGTTAAGGCTAGCTTTTGCCACAACTGTGTTTTACACGCTGGTTGGCATTTTTGGTCTAAATTAATGTGTGTGCATACCTGTATGCATGTCTGAGAAGCTGATAAAGACAGGGTTGCAAGCTAGGTTTCCCTAGCCACATCCTTCAAGAGAAAAAAGCCAACGGACTATTTCTGTGAATAAATAAGTGTGCAAAGGACTCATGTCCATTTTATTCTCTTCTATAAAATATTTGTTGTACAAAACAGAAGACTTTCTTTAGCAGAGCAGTTATCTAAGGAAACCTCCTCTATGATCTTTAAAGCTTGTATTTCCATGTGCATGGCTAGAATCTCTTTATTTGGTATGTGCAGAAGTCTGCTTCATTTTACCACTTCAGACCTCATCATGGGCACAGTTAACTATTCAGTGTAAGTAGATGCACCTGAAAAACTTGAACTGGACTGCCTTATAATGGTGGTAAAGCTGATGAATTACCTTCTCGAACATTCGGATACAGAGGTAGAACTATGCTGTAATTTCAGAGTGTCACTGCAGACACCTTGGTCTAAAGATGGTGCTGGAATTGTTCTCTGAGCTTCTGCATTGATGGAGTGCAATCCAAGGAGCCTTCTGCAGACAGTATATAAACCTTGACAGTGCTTAAGCCTGAAAATCTTCTAGAAACTCTTAAGAATTAATCCAAATATAATTTCTACCTCTCTGGTACTATGAATCTCCTTAGCTGCTTGAAGGATTGTTCTATTAGGATCCAGATCAAGGAAATTTGTGCATTAAAAGGCAATCGAGGAAGTGGCCTTTTCCAGGACCTTCCAAAAATCTTGTCTTCCATCTATGCAGCTCAAAAGCTACCTAAGCACTATTAGATTTGCACTCTGGATTGCAACATTATGGTGGACACACACTAGTATTAAAATCTTCTGCAGCACAGCAGACAGATTGTTTAACAGCTTTACCAGGATGATGCTACTAAAATTTAATTTGTGGAAATTGAGACCTTTTGAAGAATGGGCTGCAGAGAGCTCATCTCTTTGTATAGGCAGGCTAGGGAATTTAAACAAAGGGCAAGAGGCCGGGAATGAGGAATTGTGTGGTTGCAGCCAGAGGACTCTTCTGTATGTGAAACCTCTGGTATGTGTGTCTAGCTGCAGACACCTGCTAGAGGCTAGACTATGAGAAGATAAAGGGAGGAGAGTCTGTTGGTATCGGGTCAGTCCAAGTATAACTGGGTGCTATAAGCACTGGAGATGAGTGGTTTCTAGTGTGGGTAGCAGACAAATGTTGTTTTGAGGGCAGCCATAAGATCAGCCATTGCTATCTGTTTAAACGTGGCAATTTGGCTAGAGATCTAGAGGGTGAAATGCTGCTGACCTGCAGCGTAAACCAAACCCACTGTCTTGGAAAGTGACAGGGACTCCTCAGGGAGCTGCTGGATGTTTTTCTATAGTAGTTTCAATCAACATTGACCGTATGTGCTGTTTCCTCATCAGGCTGATGGTTATGTTTCATGCTGTGTTGACTCAAATGCTTGCTCCTGGCCTGTCCGAGCCAGCTGCACACAGCGTGGATGCTCCTGCAGCAGCATGGGCTTGTGCAGCTCCTGCCACGCTGCACCACTCCTGCTGCTGTGCCAACACAGCTGCTCACACCATCTGCTGTGAACCAGGCTCCTGGGCTGATGTGTTAAAGTTTTTCTTCTTTTCTTTTGCTTCTTAAGGCAAAACCCCACCCTTTGCAGCGGTGTTGGCACAAGCTGAAAGTCTGCATGGGAGCAGGAGACCAGGGGTGGGATGATGACTGCAGCTGCTGAGGAAGAGGCTGCTTTCAATGCCTCCATGATGTGGGCTGTGACTGGGAAGCCTCATTTCAAAGGTCTCTGTCTGGAGTAAAGCTTTATCACACCAGGTACCTCACACTGAGACATGACCCATGGAACAGGAGGTTTCGGCAAGCCTCTGTGCCTATAGAAATCCTACCAAAAAA